GAATAAACTCTTGTGTTACAGTGCAAGGCCTCTGCAGAGTGAAAGTTCTGCCGAAGGCTCTTTCTGCCAGAGATGGAAGTTCTTGAGGAGGGTGTAATGTGGGAACAAATTCCAGGGGGGCTCCTCAATGAAAGTCTCATTGTCTTCTGGGAAATAATTTCCCCACTGCTCAGGTGTTCTCAGATGCAATATCATATTTTGTACAGCTCATGTTATTGATCATTTTATTGTTTAAAAACACAGAACTGTGTTTCTATAGTGTCATAGGGATGACGTACTTTTATAGGCCAACCCGGAAGTTAGCATCACCCTGGTTCCCTCCACAAAAAGCCAACAGGATTTTAGATTACTGCGAAAAATATAAGCAAGATAAGCTTCACAAATGAAAACAACTTTTATGATTTTTGAAGCCCAAATACGATCACCATGAGTAAAAAGCTATTGTTAGTTTATAAAAAAAAATACACCGCAGTCCCATGAGATTTTAAACAGCTGTTGGTGGAGATTATGCTTCACTAAACACAGCAGAGGGGACAAAATAGACCTGAAGCCTATAAAAACATGAGGGTTCCAGAGGAGACGCGTCTCTGATTCAGTGTGGATTGACACATCCAATAGAATGGGTTTCTGTCTGCAGCATGAGACGGGCAAAGAAAGCACTTCCAAAAACACGTATGTAATGTATGAAGCCACGTGTTTGTCACTGCACAGTCCATTTTACTTTGTTTCATAACAATTCTAATAATTTTCCTTAATAAAACATCTATAAATCAGTGAATGATTCTATATTTTATGCCATCAGAAACTGTGATTTAGGAGTATCTTTTAAAAACTCAGAGGAAACCATTCAGAGTCCCCGAGGCAGTGAGATTTCTGACTGAATACTTCACTTTCTGGCTCAGGGTGAGATGTACATAAATTCAGCCAGTTCTTTGCTTGTCCCTGGGATATATCATAAAATGTGCAGATGTTTTCCCAAATGACTGTGCTTAGAATTTTATATTCACAATTACCATTGAAATATTCATTCAGATCCCATATTAAAAAATAAGTCAAAGTAAAGTCAAGCAGTAAAGCTTTCCAGAAATTATGATGCTTGATTCATATCTTGCTTCTTCTTGCATACCAGCTACATGGTCAATAACCTGAGAGTCAGACCAAATACTGACTAATCAAAAGTAACATCATGTCATAAAAATGTTGTCTTATCTTTTATAATGGCCATCCATTGTACATTTATTAACATCTATTACTCTGAGAACCAGTTTAACAAAAGAGTGTGCGTTGTTCCTATTTCCTTCCTGCTGTCTTTCAGTCTGTATCAGAAGAACGGTTGTTACCTGAAATAAAAATGTATTTGATTTCATAGCTGCTTACTCCTTTGACCTCCGTGTGCTGTAAATTTGACATTTTAAATCCATTTTGCCCCAGGTATTTACATACAGCAGATACAGTATATGGCCCTCTGCCAAGTAGTTCAATGAAATGTTTTCAGTCAGTTTCTTATAATTGATTTTCCTTACCTTCAATCATTTTGCATCTCTCCCACATCGACCCTTTGAAGGGATTTGCCTTCTTTCCTGTAGGATCTGTTTAAACCGACTGGGAACCCTGTGGCTCTAATCCTGTGGTAAACAATGAGATTTGAGCCCATCATTACATTTTACCAGCTCAGTCAGAAACTACAAATATTTTTTGAAAACTAAAAATGTTTGTCAGTGTCGAATAACACAAATTAGTTTAAGTAAGCATTTTTAAAATTACATGTATGATGTGCTTTATGTAACCAGCTGTGAAAGTAGAGCTGATTATTCTTCTCCATCCTGTCCGGAGGGTCTCTCCTGCTACATATGCAACATAAGAAACATGCACAGAAGAACTTGTGTCAGTATTCAAGGACAGGCCTTGCTGCACATCAGGCTGTACAGACTGGAGTACACAGGGGAGCCAATTACTTCACAATGCAAAGTGAAGCTGTGGAGCAAAAGCAGTTCAAACTACTTAAAAAAATCTAACTGACCATGTGATACCAAATTCTAACCACATATAATACATGTGAGTTTATTACCTGAGACCTAAACCTGTCCTAAACTTAACAGTCTCATCTGGGCTTTTCACAAGGACAACACTGCAAGGAATGTGGTATTTTTGTTGTAAAAAAAATATGGATTTAATATTGTCTGAGCAAAACTAAATCAGTAAAATAAAAATATTTAACTTGTGCCTTTTTAGACCATTTGACAAACTAAAACACTGGACTGTCTTGTCTGTTTAGTCACAAGTGATTAGTATAATCTAAACAACTGAAACAGTCTTGAACCTGCACGGTTTTAGATGGTACGAACAGCTCGAACACTGGTCTAAATAACGGGCCTAACTTTTTTACTTGTGTTACTGTAGGTACTTTCTTAGTTAGATAGATATTGATTAGAGATCTGTTGTATTAGAAATGTTAGTGGAGACAGATTGACTAGCTTAGGCTGTTAACTGTTCAGTAATGTACTTGCAGTGCAGACTGCAGGCAGGTCAAGGTTACAGGCAAAGAGCTGTTAGTGTCAACTGTAATGCTAGTCTTAATATTTGTCTTAATGTGTAAGGTTATGTCCAATTGTTTTAGATACACACCACAAAAACAACAGCCACACACCTTGACTTTTCCTCATGTTTTGGCTAACGTTATAGCCAGCTGCAAAGA